ATCAAACTCAATTAAATTGCAATCTTATATAGAAATACAATGTAAATCAAACTCAATTAAATTGCAATCTTATATAGAAATACAATGTAAATCAAACTCAATTAAATTGCAATCTTATATAGAAATACAATGTAAATCAAACTCAATTAAATTGCAATCTTATATAGAAATACAATGTAAATCAAACTCAATTAAATTGCAATCTTATATAGAAATACAATGTAAATCAAACTCAATTAAATTGCAATCTTATATAGAAATACAATGTAAATCAAACTCAATTAAATTGCAATCTTATATAGAAATACAATGTAAATCAAACTCAATTAAATTGCAATCTTATATAGAAATACAATGTAAATCAAACTCAATTAAATTGCAATCTTATATAGAAATACAATGTAAATCAAACTCAATTAAATTGCAATCTTATATAGAAATACAATGTAAATCAAACTCAATTAAATTGCAATCTTATATAGAAATACAATGTAAATCAAACTCAATTAAATTGCAATCTTATATAGAAATACAATGTAAATCAAACTCAATTAAATTGCAATCTTATATAGAAATACAATGTAAATCAAACTCAATTAAATTGCAATCGTCCCTAGAAATGTTCAGCCTATATCAAGGTGATGATTCATATGTGTATGCTGTAGCACAGTCCCTCTATCAGTGATATATGGACTGTGGCTGGAGGGCTGCGGCAAACATTGCTAGATACAATGAGGTCATGTATTGAGGTTATTGTTTGCAATGCGCATGCGCAATGAGGAGCCGGAAGTCTCAGATAAATACTAAATACGGGACTAAATACTACCTCCTCCTGACCTGAACCATGGCAACCCAGGCTTATAAACACCTAATTAATGACCCTGAAACATGTGTTGATGATATGTTAGATGGGGTCCTTGCAATGCACCCTAATTTGAAGCGGCTAAAAGGTACGTTATTTCTGTTCGATATGCGCTAAAGGTAACCTTTTGTTGGCACGGCTGGTGATCTGGGGACCCTTGCTCGACCAACAATAACCCCACTTCCACATCGTATTTCAGAGTGCATGCTACGATTGACAGTGAAGGGTTGTGTTAATGTAAAGGTTACCTAGCGTGTACCACAACGCTTACCCCGAACAACCCCCATATGTGGTTATGCTGAGTTTGAGGTGTACGCCCGGGATGACCACCGTGACTGGGTATACGACGTTGTCAGAGTGAACGTTAATTGCATTCGGTCGTCGGCTTACCACTCAAACATCCCCATTTTCAAAACTGCCCAACTTTACTTTCCTATTCACTCAAACAATCTATACAAGACGACAAATGCAAACACCTTTTATATTCTAGACTTGCAGCTCAGCCGATGTCATTTGCGAGATGCTGAATTGTTCGAGTTACAGACAACTCGATGTTTTCATAACTTGAACAATCCAGCATCTCTCATTTTTTAACTGTTTGTAGCAACTACAAATTATAACTCTGGCGTATTAGTGACTGTGCGTGCATGTATGCAATTGATGTAGGGGCCAATGTTTTGCTGTGGGCGCCCTCTGTTGGTGTATACAAAGTTAACGAGCAGTTGTCGCTGGAGGGCGCAAGTTATACGAGTTGTAACAATTCAACTGATGAAAGTCTAACGTTGTTGTACCTACCATTACTTTTGAGCTTATATTTTCCTTGAAATTTCTCAAAATGAAGTTGTGACATTTTGGGTACACGCTTAGCTGTGAGTTCATGTCCATTTGTAGTGTTGTTTCTGCGAAAGTTTCGTCGCTGTTTTGTGCACAAAGTGTTGGGAAACCTCAAATTTCAAAGAAACAAGCAGTTACTGACGAACATGGGCACAAGTTTGGTCATGGAACCACAGATTGTTAACTCCCCGTTTTGTACGACACGAAAAATATGCACCGATGTACCTTGATGCCTTGAAATGCAGACATTCAATAATGCAAAGAACAAATACGATTTTCATGCTACAGAACTGTGAGTGTAGGCAAGACTCTCAATTTGCACAGATCTCTACGTTGAAGTATTAATTGTAAACCATTATACAGAACTAGTTACATAAGAATCACGGTATGCTTGTAAGCCAACATTAAGATTTTTGATGCCTGTGTCTGCCATAATTGGTGTGCTGACCAAACGTGATAGATTACTGATTATAGAGTACGTCTGTTTTTTTGTGATTCATTCAAGAATACCGATGGTCGATCATGTTGAGTTTATTTTCATGATTTTTTTTTCAAAATAGGTACAAAGACAAACGGTTTACATATACAAATTGTTATACATATTTTTCGTTTTATTGACATTTGACCGACATTTCATTCAATTTGGTAATTGTATTGGTTGGTTAATCATTTAATATAATGCAAAACTGGTGGCAATTTAGCTTTGTTCATGTATCCTATCTCTTTCTCAGACGCACTTTTCCAATTTTTTTTAGAATGTGCTACAAAGTCATGACATGATGTTCTGCATATTCTTTTCAATTGTTTTGGGTTTCGATGAAATTTAACCGGCTGCGAAAATTTTTCGTCCAATAAAACTCAATCGCAAAATGTGAACAGGCATGCTTTGGCCGATTGTATGGACATTACACTTGATAGTTTAGCACATTTGCTTGTTTTGTGATTGGATTGAAAATGGCCAAGTGACGGCCACGTTGGTTTATTTGTCACGTGTCCTTAAACATGTTTCGTCTTGCCTTGACAGATGTTTTTGAAAGTTGTCAAATAAAAACGAGGGATATATCTTTGATAGTGACTTGTTATCATAAAGATCTCCATCATCTTGTCGAAATATATTTCGTTGGGGATAAAATGACCGACAGTTTAGAAAAAATGTTTGCATTTCAAATAATAAATTTTACGCAAATACTGCGTCGTTCCACGATGTGGCTTTAGGTCGCCAACGTTTCGTACGTAGTTTCACTTTAAATTTTGGAGTGTCTAGATGCCGTGCACTTACAACTTGAATCTTTCTACAGTTACACTTCTGCAAACAAAAAATAGGCAAAATTTTACACATCGAAAATTATTCTCGCATTGTGTTGTATGATGGGTAACTGAACGTCATCGATCTGACCTTTGCTCTCGTACTGCATGCATAGGCTATCGCGTAATATTGCGAGAAGACATCGAAGAATACAAAGCGTCCGGTAAAGTGACTTTGCTATGCGGTGGTGGGTCTGGACATGAACCCTTTGCAGCTGGTAAGTAGGTTTCGTGGAATATTATACATATTATATTGTACCGTGATCAGAGCTCTGGTGGTACGGGGAGGCATTGGTAGGTTCTTACCAGCTTTTTCGGGATATTTTTTCTGAGGACTATATTTTGAGAAATCTTCATTGACACCTCTTTATGTTTGCAATCATCAGGCTTGAGTTCATTCTCGTCCGCTAATGAATAAACATCAACCAGCGATCGCTTTAAAGCATTTAGAATGGGAGTACAGATCACAGATTTGTTTTTGTAGATATATTTACATCATTATATATTGAAAATGTTCAATTTAGTGCGTCATATTTCTGTATCACTTTCTGTAAAGTCGAACGAACTCCTTATTGGTACACATACCGTTTGATTGGTTCCAGCACTTTTCACGGACTTTGGCGGTTGGAATAACAGAGTTTGCCTCTTGATGTAACAGCTGAAAACAGCGCGATTCAAGTTGCAGTATGATTGTCACACCACGTTACTTTGCCAGCTGGTACAATTGACATATTCATCATGCAGTTTGTATTTTTGTACACAGGGTTTCTAGATTGAATAATAATAGCGGAATATTTTTACTGTATATAACTAAAGTTAAAATTAACCATTCATTCTGTATACACGTAAACTATTGCCTATCATATACAATTCGCATAACTTTTTGTTGCATGTTAATTCGAGAGAACGAGACATGTCAGTCGACTAGCAACGTTTCAATAGAAAACTATCCGATCCTGTCTTAAACATAAACGGGTGTTTTGCGTAACGCGCGTAATAGTATGCGTTCGTACATGCGCACACGCAATGAATTAATAGTACGTACCACCAATACGAAAATGCAACAAACAATACAAAACTACTAAAACAGAAACTCGAAACTATCGCCCTTTCAGTCACACTGGACATTTGAGTTTGAAAATTGAAAAAAAAATATATCTATGAAAAATATATGATTATATTGTAACTGTATCGCAGTTCAATTCAGAACTGTTTAGGATCATAGTCACAGGAAATATTGTTAATTAATCTTGAGCAAAAAAAAAAAACTAAAATATTCAGTTTATCATGTTTGTTCTTATTTTTAGTAAAATAATACATTTTTCACATTTTCATTACATGTGAATACGCACAAAGGACTGTGGGTATTTTATAACGAGAAAAAGTATTATAAACATGTTCCCATGTGAAATGTACAGTTACATTTGAAATGTGTCCCAGCTGTGTGATGTATAACATATAAACACTATGTAAAATCAGAAGAAAAAAAACAATTGTATTCCCGTGTTTACAATCTTTCTGACCATGTTTCAACATTTTAGGCTACGTTGGGAAAAACATGCTATCTGCTGCCGTTGCCGGCGCTGTATTTGCATCTCCGCCACCCAATGTGGTGCTGGCCGCTCTGAGGGCACTTGCTTGCCCAGGTAAGCGAAGTTTTGTTCGAGTATATTGTTTGTCAGCACTGTTCAAACTGAGTTATAGCGCCACCATGTTCATGAGTTTAACTGTTACTTCGTTTTAGATGGCGACCTTGAGTTAGTCATCAATACGATATCAATGACTGCAATACTGTAAAACATTTTGAAATAACTACTTAAAGAATTTCGATCTCTGACTGAGTTAAAATGTAGCTTATGTCACAAGATTCTTATTATGAGAATACACTTTTTGAATATATCTTGAATTAGTGGAGATATAACGAGGTGGCTACACGAGCCAATGTAATATGTTGTATATACGTGAACACAAAATCTTACTCTATGTTTCCTATGTTCTATGTTCCTATGTTCCATCTTCAGCCGGTACACTGCTGATATTGATAAACTACACGGGTGATAGGCTGAACTTCGGAATTGGTGTTGAACGAGCAAGAGCCGAAGGCTGCAAAATCGATGTGGTGACTGTCGCCGAAGATTGCGCCCTCACTAGTACAGACAAAACAGCAGGGCGACGTGGGCTGAGTGGAGCTGTATTTATACATAAGGTACATATATAGAGAAGTAATTTCCATCAGGCGATTGTGATAAATTAGAAACACTGGAGATGAAAGCATAGTCAGTGATCTCTCAAAGTTGACACGAAATTGTTTAATGGATCACAGCCTGATGTTGTTTGATTCACAGTCCCTCTGTATACTGTAAACTATTCACTAATTTTTAATTTTACTATTTTCACTGATAAGTAAAATCCGCTAATTTAAATCTACATGAATATGCCACTTTAAAACCTGGTAAAAAGTCTCAAAAGTAGTGAAATTAAACACCAGTAAAAAATAAATGGTTCTACAGTAGTATATTGTGTGAATATGGCAGGCCTTGCCTTTTGAAATTGCCAAGAGTCAAACAATGCCTCTACTTGGCACAGAAAGGTGAATAATTAAGGGAGCTATCTCTTCAAAAATGTATGGATTAGGAGACGGATAAATGACTCGTCTGGGTCTTGATTCGTGCGCCGGAATGATAGGCGACGGTGAAGTGATCACATCATGAAATAAAACACTTGCTCCATTTACATAGATTGCAGGTACATTAGCAGAAGAAGGAAAATCGTTGGAAGAGATCGTAAAAATAACATTAGAAGCAACACAAAACATGGGTAAGCTCGATTTTGCTCATCACGAAACTTTTTTAAAACCTGACTACCGCAAGGTTTAGTACTAACTAGTATAGTTTGTTTTTTTAGAAATATAGATGGCGTATTCTCAACTACTTATACAATGTACTTTATTTCTCCGAAATATTGTAATAATATAAGGAGCATTGCAATTACAAAGAGGGATTGTGATCGATATACAGTTCTATAAATTAGGAGGTTACACAATTCGCTTAAGTTTTCAAAGTATCCTCGATTTAACTGCGCGTGGCCCGATTCGATATATCATGGGGTAGTTGTGTCGCGTATTCTTCAACAACTGAGAATATATATATATATATATATATATATATATATATATTGCATGACACACCACAATATTAGAAAGACCTAATATTGACGCATTTTCGTGATTTTTTTAAGGAACCATAGGCGTCGGCTTATCTCCATGCTGTGTTCCTGGATCTGGATCCACATTCACTCTGGGAGACGACGAGATGGAGCTAGGACTAGGTGAGTGCCTTGTCATTTTGACCGGGATTTGCAGTACGGGTTGTGGTTGTGGTTGTTGTGTGTGTATGACGTGCAGACAACCGTTTGTAAGTGGCCTATTGAAATTGTTGTCACTATATGAGAGCGTCACGGTGCTTTGGCAGAGACGGGGGGCGGAGGGCAAGGTTTTATATGTAGCAATCTGAGTTACCATCGAAGAAAGTTTGTAATGTGATTAAGTCAGGTCGTTACTCTGAATGACTTCGAATCGATTAACATTGATAAACGAATGAATGCATTTTTGGGGGTGATTGAAATCGGCTCAATGTTGTTATATTGTGGATGAAACGGAACTGTACATATATAAATATCCATAATTAATAGTGGCAGTGCTTACTTAAAAGGCTTATGTAGATAATGTTGTGAGCATATTGAAAATAAATTTTATTTTATATTATATCTAAATTGAAACATTAGGATAACGCATGCGCACAAAAGTTTACCAGTATTTCAACGAATGAACGCCACTGTTATCCGCCAAAGCACGGGTTTTAATATGATGCGAAATCATGTCCTAATTAATTTAATTTAATTTTAATTTAATTTAATATTAATTAATATGTGAGCTATAAGAACAAAGTTTTCAGTTCATAGTCCAATGTATTTAAATAATAATGGACGACCAAATTTTGTGCTACATATGAGAAAGAAACTAGTTTTTTGTCCACCAAATACTGAATGTATTTGGAATCATTTACATTGCGAGTGGGTGAGTGACTGATGTGTGGTCGGGTGCAGAGTAAAACTGTAGTGAACGCCCCAGTGAACGGCATACGGGTACGCCATCTCAGTGCCCGGCCACGACCTCGCTAGTGTGTGTGTGTGTATGCATAGTTTCCTCCAGATTGCCGCTGCGGATCGACTGTTTCATGAGGGTATACGTTATTGACAACTCTTCTGCATAAAAGTTATTTTCTAATGTTACTGGAAGCCGGTGATTTGACGAAATGCGTAGCGAGCGAACATCGAACAAGAAAACAGGAAAAAGAGTGACCTAATGGACTGTATAAATCATAAAACAAAAACCCGTTGTTCAGTTCCTCATTCGTGGCGCTATCTTCGATCCGAGTCTCTATTTTGGGCGAATATTTTTCTCATTTGGGTAAAAATGCTATTTTTGACTTCTTCTTGAAAACTGCTACCACAATAACGCGCGCCGTACTAGATGGAACGCAGCGGCCGAACGTGATTTTGCGAACCGAACAGATGACGATTGTCGAATTTCTGTTGTTATTAACAATATATGCCGATTTCAGTATTAAATATTTGTTACCTCACAATTTCTCTTCTCTTTAAACCCTATCCCTTATTCGTTGTCGAAAACATCAACTTATCCATGGTACGGGGCCCTTGATGACTTACATGATTGCGAATGATCTGCAGCAATGGCGTAATGATAATGCTATAATATATTTACCAATATGCACTGTCAAACAACAAAACTAAAAATTACATTTTCTCGTTCATATTGCCACTCACAAAATTATGGACTTTCTTTTGTGTTCGAACATCACTATAATCGGAATTGTATCCTCTTATCATTTTGCTATTCAGGAATTTTCATGGAATCAAAAAACCGCTGCGAGCTTAAATTTCATTCAGATAGAATCCTGCGTGAACGCACAGTGATTGGAGTACAGTAGCATATAGGGAAATTTCTGAACACCTGGAAATTCAAGTTCATAATGTCACAGAATATTGTGTACAACAAAGATTCGAACCGAAGTCGGCCCAGCTGTTCCATTTGAGCCAAAGTGTGTGATACTGCGTTATATAATTCGGATCAAGATCTAGCTCAGATGTGGTTTTGAACAGAATTACTTAAACTATCCGCATCACCTAACGCAGTTTATTTATTGCCCCTCAAAATCGTTTTCATTACAACATACTGTGAAACCGTAATCAACTTTATCAACTTTAATGACATACATTACGTTTGGCCCAATCTAATAAGATCTCTTTGTGGGATTGTTTTTATATTATTTATTTTATTTATTATGCATTGTTTATTTTTTTCATAATTTGTATTTAGCATTTCGCCTTTCGTGGAGATTTTGCGATCAGAGGGCAACACATAAAATAATAATGAGAAGAAAGAAATGACGAAATTGCAACTGTACGAAAATCTTATTTTAATCTGGTTGGGGTTTGATCTAACCTGAGGATGAAACAATATAATTAATCTAGTCATGGACTGGTGAAAGCACCCAGATTATTTTAGAAATATCGGAGTTTATAATTATATTTATCTCAAAAATACGTAAATTGTCAAAATTATAATGGTCAACCCATATCGTGACCGGAAACTAAAACAGAATTGTCTTAACATCCTTGGAACAGAGTGATAGCCTGAGGCTAATGGGTTTATTTCAAACATGGCGTATGATTAGTAACAGTTAGCCTGTGCGATTCCGGGTCGAGACGGCTTTTAGAAATTACAGTTAGAACAGAAAGTGGTTTGAAACTCCGTTAAACTGCAGTGACCCGATTTGGCGGATTCGGTTCAGTTCTAGTGAGTACATCACCATTAGACACCCTATTATGAGAGATGTGCCGTCAGAATGTTCGGTTGGCGGGGCGTAGAAGTATTGCTTTGAAACATGAGTTACGACCAATAAAGTGGTATATATGAAAATGGAGCAACACAGGTTGCGCTGTGATTTAATTTAAACTGATAAATACAGACTGGCCCCGGGAACAATTTCATCTTTATTAAAATTTAACTGGATGGTATAACGGCAGCTAAGAACAAACTTCCGTTGATGGGGACATTGGTATTTTGTTCTAATCAATCATTGAACAAATACTAGTAGACAATTTGAAGACTTGACACGACACTTGTAAGATGAATTCTATCCTTACATTTAATCTAACCATAGACCTTAGAATAGAATAGACGTATTTTCGTATACATATTTGTAAAGTATGGCGAATAAAAACATAATTATCTCGGAAATCAAATGCATTTTTCCACCGTTGGGAGAAAATAGCTGAATGGTAAATGCAATTTCTTTATATCTGTGTATTTGCTATTATAACTGTAGATTCCATACATAACCAAACAGTGCACAGTTACTAATATACCATAATTATTCACTTACGTACAGGAATCCACGGAGAAGTTGGCGTCACCAGAATGAAGGTGAGAAAACTAACCAAGGTGGTATAACAACAGAGTACCAATTTATTACTGTCCGTTTAGACGTAGTCCGAAAATGGGGACTTATGGATTGACCTATGTGCGCGCGTGTGTGGGTGCGTGCGTCCTTTCGTCCGTATCCAGCTGTATCTAACACGTGCATGAGCAGTTCAAATTCAAACTTCACACATACATCAGACATTATATCAGATAAACGCACGTGCTTCTTTGTCGCCATCAAATCCAACGTTGGCTAACTCGGGCGGTTACCTTGTTTAAACGATTGCGGTTCTCCACTGAGCCATTCCATAAATAGTGCAGTGATGCGATATCTCGTGCAAACGGGGACTATTTTATTTACAATGACTTGTTAAATTTGTCTTGAATGTGAATGTGTTTGAATAATAGTCATGAAATCACTAGACCCACCGGTTTGTGACGTTATACTAGTACCTATATGAGACTGATGGCCAGAATTCCTTTCTTTACTGTGTGACTTTATTTTGTGTTGTTGCTCACTAAATCACAATAAATACTACGATCACCAAAAATGCTTTTTGCAAAAAACAAATGAAAATAACGATTTATGAGACATTTATCGTTGGTTGCTTTAACATGAACTTCTATGAAAATAGATCCAAAAGAACCACTTTGCCTGTTTTCAGCAAGTGTTTGTTTTCAACAAACGAATTCTTACTGGGTAAAAAGTTTATGACAGTCAATAAATCAAACGTAGCACTTTTGAATCAACAGAATGATTTATACTTTGTTGGATTTTACTTGATCAGTGAGCATTAGAGAGTCTTAAAAAAGTGTTTGTCTTGGAGCTATCTGCGTGGAATGAAGTTATTTGGCAACTTGAAGTATATCGATCGTGGTAGTTGCATTGTTTAAATTTTTACGATAACAAGTTCGTGAACGCCTGTGAAGTGGCAACCTGGTATAGAGCATTGTGTCTCTGACCACAGTCTCTCTAGATGGGGGGGGGGGGGGGGCAATCGATGTTCATGGATGTCATGGTAGGCACAAATTCGAAACAGATCAATAAGTATTTTTATCCGACGCAGACAATATTTATTGTTATGCTATATCGTGTGTGTCCCTCAAATTCAAGAGGGTGCTCGTGGTCATGATGGTGTTTTTTCTTGACGCATCGCTGTGAAAACATTACCGTCCAAAGGAGCTTGCTCGCATTTTCCGCGAATCATATTTGAATAAGAGCAGCAACCTTATGCTACCATTGAATCTACGGTACCTGTTCCTTTCGTCACGCTGTTTTTTTATTTCAAAAAGTCAGTTGTAACCGAATCTCTAACACACAATTTCGTGTATAATTGAACATTATGAGTTATGTGTGTAGCATAGAAATCCATCCCACACAACCCTCTGGGGTTGACTTTATGGGTGTATTGCTTGCGAATAATTATTCCAGATCATTTTCCCCTTTTCCTTGATAGCTTACACCTGCAGTGAATGTAGCTGCGACTATGATAAATCACATGACCAACCCAAGAACGAGCAGCCATATTAAAATTGCCGCGGGTAAGTCGATCCACTGTAAGCCACGTGTCATTTAATCGATCAGCGAGCTGAAATTAAATATCATTTTCTTTCTATGTGTATCCTTGGTTTTTTCTGGTGTTGAACGCTAGATCAGTGTAGCAGGTGCACTGTCTGCTCACAGATACTGAGAATAGGAGAGGAGATGGCATTGCTTAATTCTTTTGTAATAACCCAGATATCATGCAGCTCATTTAAGTCTCTGCTATCGTGATGAAAACGTAACTAAGAAGAACAGATTATTAAACAACTTTAATAAAGCTGATCTACAATAAAATACTTTGTCAATGATAACTTAATAATTACTCAGTCTCCTGCTATGTTATAATGGGACATTTAAGGGATGTTCCGGAAACGCTTGGCCATGTGCGTCTGCTGCAGACATAGTATGTCATTTAGTTTATATCTGAAAATAATAAAATAAGTATTCATTTCCCGCGTTTCATCAGGTGACAAGGTGGCGATCATTTTAAACAACCTTGGCGGCACTTCGACTTTGGAGTTTTGCGTCATGGCTAAAGAAGTTATTGCCTTTTTAGGTAAGTTATTTCGCATAGGATGCTTACCAGGTGAAAATATTGCAGTATTACTGAAGGTGAACTTTGAACTACGTCCACGCAATATTCTTTATGTTTTATACGCATTATTTATTTAATTAATAATGTATAAGTATACCTGCATTTATTGATAATTATGACATGTCAGAATATGCCCTCTGACCAATGATAGCGTGTGTATTTGTGGGAGGGGGTGTCTATGTACGTTCAAGGGGATGCGTAGTGTTTTATCCTGCTGAACTCTTCGTCCAGTTCGTTTAATGGTGAGGGCCTCGCCTGTTGACGTGTACAGTGCATCCACGTATGTTAGAGATACGAATTGTAGTAGCTTGTGATGCTTAGCGGTTTATTTGATTGTGCGTAACCCCAGTGAACGTTGGTTTATCCGATCCCTACATAGCAAGCGGCTCCATGGTTTATTTTACGACCACACGTGAGAAACACGAAGAGTTGAAAGCCCGTCGAATTGAAAGCTCTTCCTCACAGCGTTGTTAAACTGTTCCGCTAACTAAGTATTTCTATGGCAACAATTAAATCATATAGCCCAGATCAAACAGCAAGTAGTTCGGAAAATACGATTGATCGTTGGCTGGCTGGTTGAAGTACTAAACGTACCTCGTTGTTCGCACACTACAGTCGAAAGTTAAAGATTATTATATAAATGCGTTGTTCACGGATATTTCCTGACGTGATGGAGGGGTATTTCTACACGAAAATCATTAACTACGTGAAAATTGGGTCATCAATTCCCACATAATTGACGCTCGGCGTTTTTTTTTGTGATCGCGTTTTAAATAAAACTTCAATACATTCTGAACCGCATCAAATGATAGCCAGACAATTTGTGTCGCTAGTGAAATCTAAACACTATGCTATTTTTTTTTATTAAACCCACGTACACATACACATAAAAAACGCTAGAGTTTACGAGCGGGTCACGTGACTCCGATAGAGATGGTCGTGCCAAGCGAGCGATTTTCGTAATTCCCGCCGTTTCGTTCGAAAACCGTAGACTAAAACTTACGTGTACTAGTATCTTATTGATTGATGGTGTCATTTTGTTCGATGTCTTTACAAGCTCCGCGTCGCTCCATGATACTGGTGATATAGGCGGAATAAAGGCGACAGACGTAGTCGTCCATGTTATTTGCACCCACGTCTGACGTAATAGTATATTCAATTTCCTTAACTCGCATCGAATGCTAGATATACGCGCCTACTTCATGCACGGAGTTTCGCGGACACGCCACCGATTAAATACGTATATATTTTCACTTTAGTGCCGGCGCGTGGCCAGTGTTATCTCTTGGTTTTCGCCGCGGGGTCGTAATGCTATAGGAAAACTGACAACCAGAATCGTGTCTGTTTTGCATTATCGTCGGAGGTCATGCCTGTATTTAAATTTAAATGCTTACTCTACCAGACTACGTGCTGAGGAATAATGTTAACTTAGATAACGTACTCCTCTGTGTGTTTCGTGATGTATGGCCGGGAGTTGTTCAGTCTTCCGTTCATAAATTTCTTTTTTTTGACAGTGAGTAATCCTGAGTGCCACCTAACCTACCTTTGAGCTACCTCTACCTTTATATCTTTGAGAAAAAATTAATTTAAAATTAACGACATGTTTTTTTCATATCAAATTTAATTAAATAACCAATTCGTAGTTTTTTTTGATTGGGAAAAGTTGTTCCCATGACAATATCTCCATGGATACGTTACGAGTCACGGTTACTGGGATGTGCATTTCCCCTATAAAATAACCAACTTTAAACAAGAGAACTCTTTCAAAAGCAACAACCATTATTATTTGTTTGGTCAACAACAAAAAGACGCTACAATTTTAGTATATTGATGTACTTATACTAGTTACTGCGTCGAAGAAATCTCAAGTTGTATTTTTAACTGTTGCTATGGAAATTTAAAGCCATCTGTTGAAGTGGCGCATCATTCGTTATATTATACCGATCGGTTATTAAATAATTCATTGTAGAATGTGTGTCAGATTAATTCCACATTCAATTCAAGTTCACGTACTGGTTATTGTTATGATACCTGGTCAAACACAATACTTCGTTGGCACTAACTGACCACACGCACCGACACGCGAACGCACACAAGCAAGCAATGTGCACGAAGTGGAAACTAACTGAGAAGGTCGAATACTGTTATTGTGCTTTGGTTTTTCTTCGTAATATTTATAGAATATACCGGGAACAAGTTGTTTTATCAATTTATTTTGTACTCTATGATAATGAACCATTGACGACGACCTTGCGTTTACACAACGTGTACCACGTGCACCTGAGGCGATTTTCTTTCGATATGGAGATAATATTGCTAGACAAAAGTCTAATAAGCTTCACCGGGATTCTTCCCACAGAAAGAGCTGTATGGAAAAAATATAAGACACCAGAAAATGTTGTAAATCTATTCCAAATTCCCGTGTTGGTTTTAACAAACATAATGACGATTTGTTATCGACTTTAAAGACCGGTTCTGCAGACCAAATATAATGTATCACTCCTAACAACTGACGTGTTCTAGTCGAATGCTTTCCTTGTCTGTCTGTATATACTACCACCAGTCAATGTTGTTCTTTTTTCCCGTCACGTAGAAAACAAAGGCGTTACCTTGGAGAGAGTGTATGGCGGCCATTTTATGACGTCACTTGACATGGCAGGTGTGGCGCTCTCAATTTTACACTTGGATGGGACTCGTAGACGTTGCTTGGGTAAGCTCATAGCAGTGTATGTTACAGTATTCACCCAAGCTTTCCGTGTGTATTCATTGCTAAGACGTGTAGTCATATAGCGGCAGATACGATGATAGTGTTTGCATGTTTATTAGAGATTAGATATACACGTACTACGAAAACTGCCGTCCCCTGGTCTGAAAAAATATATATTGTGCTTCTATGATTGTTTGCATCGTCGACGCCAGCAAAGTGTTGTCTATTCTGTACTATTTGTCTCTGCAAGGCCCACGAAAACTATACAATGTAATTGATGCGGGTTCGCGTCTTTTTTATTTAAATTTGTATAAAAATGTTTATTTTAATTTTTCGTGAACATTCATTTTTTTTTGTGTGTGAAATCTTATAATACACTCATACATTTTTTCTCTGATCATGTTGTCGATAGTTTTGTCTTGGGCTAAGCCATGCGTTTCCTAAATTAGGGAGGGCATTGTTTTTATTTATTTATTTACAACGCGATATACGTTAATTTTCTTGTAATATAGCGAGTGAACTCCATTTTAACTAACGTTATTGAAAATGTATTACTTGTTTAAATGTTGTTCCATTAATCATAGTTGTATTCTTTGTTTGTGGTTATTTACAAGAACCTTGGGAATAAGTAAACTGGCATGTGACGTCAGCATATACATATCTAAAAGTGAATGGCCACACCATGTATCTAACAAATTATATTTTGATGATTTCTACTGATCTGATTTCTGCTGATCTACTGATCTGATTTCTACTGATGATGTCTACTGATCTGATTTCCACTGATGATTTCTACTGATCTGATTTCAGATGCTGAAACTACCGCATTCGGCTGGCCGAAGACCGTAAGCTCCGAGTCGTTGCTACCGGGAATGAAGCGTAGTAATCGAGACTACGCCGAAATTACGCCGAAAGAACAAGATACACGTGTGGCGCAACCTGCTGGGGCCGATATAAGTGAAGGTATAGAGTATAGCTTGTCTCACAGGGATTGTTTTATACTACCGCCACTGCCTTACTTTATCTCAGCTGTGGTTCTGGCAACTGAACGATCATGGTGGATTGTGTCTTGATATTCTGGCGAGTTTCCCTCGTAGCATCATGTAAGCGTGCACAAAAGTTGGGAGAATTTAACTATTTAGTTAAAGAAAAAAAGACATCCGCAAGACCAGAGAAATAACTGTCATGATCTAACCGTACGAGAGGGAGAGACGGGAGGTGGTCGTTTCCAGTTTAATCCTGTTGTGCCATATTTTTCATCATACTAGGAGTCGGGAATTGATGGTTGCCTCTTTAAGTACTTTGGCACTAAATAATTTTCAGTTACGCGGCGTATAGACAGAATGTCTCGGAAATGGTGATTGTGTCAGCAGCCGTGCATTTCCCACACAATTGTACGTTCATTCATTACTGGGGTTGAGGGCGCAGTTCCCCCGGTGAAATAGAGTCCTTTTTTTAATTATCATTCACGGACACATTGACTGTGTGCATAATTCAGATCGACTGTTTCACTTTTTACCTTACAAAACACTTTTGGGTGCCGCCATCAATGTATTTTTCTTTCTTTCTACATTTGATGGCATGTACATGATATGATGCATGCATAGTGAATCGTGCATATAGCTGCTGGATGGTCTAGATTTCTGTATGTAACCAAATACAGATTTCACAGCAGTAGTTGTTTTCCTCCAGTATTTAGTGGACATGTCATTCTAGTTATACACGATAGGTATATACATTAGTGTAATGTAAAGTTTTAATCGAAATCTCACATATCAGTTCTCCTTCGCTGTTGTATTATTGTAGCATGCAGATGCTAGTAGACTAAACAGCGCAGTCGTCGTCCTAACACACTGATTTAATGTACTTCAAGTTTACTTATGCGTAATTCAGAGGCCGGTTGCATGCATATATTACTGTCTCATTATATTCCATAGTTTTGAAAAGCCTCCATTTTATGGCACGTGGTGAAATATTGTGTTCACTTGGGTGATATTGGAGAAGTCATTATAGAGAGTTCAAAAAACGTTGACTTGGGAGATGCTATGACGGAGTTCTGTCTCGTATTGAGTCGATGTTAACGTCTGCGAGCACGTGACAAACTTAACAAGGAGTTATTTTTTACAACTACTGTGTGGCTCCGTTTAAACTATTTTCCGGCTATGGTTTTATTTATTGCCCTTATATCATAGTATTATTTAGTCTGGCATTACATACATTTAAAAGCATATGTTTATCCCCTGGATTGAAGGTAATCCACCTTGCCAGTGGCGTATAATCTCTTGTCTTGTTCTGTTTTTTTGCCATGAAATCTTTAATGTGGATGCGGTAAACACGTGTGACCACCGGATATTCGGAAATTGTGCTTAATGAAACTCAATATTCTGTATTCTGATTATTTTTCATTTCGAATAGGCCGCCGGAATATGGCTTAATGGCATAGGAAATCACAAAGTCATTGCTTTCATGGAAACCAGTTTGGGTGCCTCAAATTGTGTTTACTCATTGTTATTATTGTATTATAACCTTTCTCTCAGCAAAGAATACCAAGCATTTACGGTGCTTTTAATGTCCATCTTTGATCATGATATATATATATATATATATATATATATATATATATATATACAGGATTGATAGGTGTTGTTTCAAAATGTCTACCTTTCTCCTTTCCCATAGAAATGAAAACATCGGTGGTCAAAGCGGTTCGATCAGCTTGCGAAGCTATTATTGCATCCGAGAGCGTCCTCAACGACCTCGACAGGGAGGGAGGCGACAACGATTGTGGGACCACGATGAAAGGGATTGCTATTGGTGAGTGGCCGTGGCTGTTGGTGTAGTCTTATTTTAGCTATGAAACGCCAATCAAAAATGTAAATACTATAACTCATTCAAAGTTAGAATTGTTGTCTCAACCCTAATGTGGTTGTAACTTTCATCAACATAAGTCTGCAACATTAATCGGTTCACCAACTCAACTAAATCATAAAAAAAAACACGGACGAGACCAGAATAATGAATGAAAATAACGTTGACGAATCGATGAGAGACAGAAATTATCTCAGTCATATATTTGAAATGTTGCACCCACCAGACCTGTTCACAATGTGTTTTAAACGCTTCGTGTACAGGACGCGGCGCGACGACCACAAACACAAACAGGAAGCCTTAGTCTGTATTGGGAATCAGGAAGTAGTCTTGATCAGGAATCCATAATCAGGAAGTAATCTTTTTCAAAAAATTCATTCAGTGAGTAGACTTTAGCAGGGGTTCTAAATATGTAAGATGTACATCTTTTTTCCATAAAGACTTTTATTCACATCACCAAGATTTACTGTAGTAAAAAAACAATAAGTCTGGGTTCGAAGCGGTCACAGCTCGACATGCAACAGACTATTAAGTTAGCTCGATCACGGTGTCTGTCATTAACTTTTGCGCTAAGTTAGATTATGAATATTCATAAGTTGAACATTATGTACATCTTACGCACATGATCTACATGCCACAATTTCAAAATAAAAATCATAAAAAATGACCACGAATTCTATAATTCCAACCCATATACGTGTGCTGTATGCACGCATTGTCGGGCTGGTATATCATGTTTCATTTGAAAACAGGAATATTGTTGACTGGACTCGTTAAACGCTTCTAAAATTACGATCTATAGATAGTTTGGGGCATTGTATTTTTTTCTGATGTTCGTGATTTATAATAACAAGAGTCCCCGCAGCGTCATATCAGATTCGGTTTCACTTCACACTTGTTCGCGTTCAGACGTTTCTCGTCATCCACTATAAAATCCCATGCGAGCCATGTTGCCACGCAGTAATGGACAATATTTTTTTTTTAAATTTCAAAAAAATAAAACATACGAACAGTTGTAACCGTAGAATGAAAAAACCTACAGTGTGGCAAGTGCGTCATAGACTTCAGTCACGCGCAGAACGTTCACAAGCAGACTTGCTAAAACGCGCTGATAGGAAATTTTTTTAGGTGAAAATAACCATAATTTATTTACATGAAAGAATCACGAAGAATTTGTTAAAATGATTCCTATAAATTCAGGGAAACATTGGACATGGATGACCAGTTATCGTCTGATAATAGGGCTGCACGTGTTACTGATCAACCAATTAGTACGCGGCGTCACATAATGGTCAGCGCACGGTACTATAATCAAAAATAGAATAATCTCGCTGTTCCGTTGTCCAGTTTTAAATTAAGAAATGTCGATATTCGAAATCAACTAACCCTTCTGTCACTAAATTGTTTCAGTACGGTGTTCTCAACTTATAGTCTAATTCGTAATCTAATGCGAAGAGACTGAACACTTTAAATTACCCAGAGTTCTCTATAAATTTTACCATTGGTCATTGATTTCGCCAAAATTTGTTACTTGCTCGCAATTTTGGACACTATTAAATTTGTAATGAGTTTTTCCAAATTATGTATTTTATTGTGTGATCAGAATGTCGAATTTACCTCAAAGTCTCGTGAAAGGCAGTTATCCAAGAATGAT